TGTCTAAAGGACTATGTTCAAAGAACAGCATCTAACGAAATGTGTCTAAAGAACTGTCTCTAAAGAGCTGTCTCTAAAGAGCTGTCTCTAAAGAGCTGTCTCTAAAGAGCTGTCTCTAAAGAGCTGTCTCTAAAGAGCTGTCTCTAAAGAGTTGTCTCTAAAGAGCTGTCTCTAAAGAGTTGTCTCTAAAGAGCTGTCTCTAAAGAGCTGTGTCTAAAGAACTGTGTCTAAATAACTGTTTCTAAATAACTGTGTCTAAATAACTGTGTCTAAAGAACTGTGTCTAAAGAACTGTGTCTAAAGAACTGTGTCTAAAGAACTGTGTCAAAAAGCCTGTGCCTAAACACTGTGTCTTAAAAACTGTATCTAAAGAAAGGTGTCCAAGAAACTGTGTCTAAAGAATTGTGTCTAAACAACTGTGTCTAAAGAACTGTGTCTAAAGAACTGTGTCTAAAGAACTGTGTCTGAAGAACTGTGTCTAAACCATTGTGCCTAAACAACTGTGTCTAAACAACTATGTCTAAACAACTATGTCTAAACAATTATGTCTAAACAACTATGTCTAAACAACTGTGTCTAAAGAACTGTCTTTGTAAAGTTGTGTCTAAACAACTGTATCTAAAGAACTGTGTCAAAAAACCTGTGCCTAAACACTGTGTCTAAAGAACTGTATCTAAACAAAGGTGTCCAAGAAACTGTATCTAAAGAATTGTGTCAAAACAACTGTGTCCAAACAACTGTGTCTAAAGAACTGTCTTTATAAAGCTGTGTCTAAACAACTGTGTCTAAAGAACTGTCTCTAAAGAGCTGTGTCTAAAGAACTGTGTCAAAAAAACTGTGTCTAAAGAACTGTGTCAAAAAAACTGTGTCTAAAGAACTGTGTCTAAAGAACTGTGTCTAAAGAACTGTGTCTAAAAAACTGTGCCTAAAAACTGTATCTAAAAAACTGTATCCAAAGAACGGTGCCTAAGGAACTGTGTCTAACGAATTGTGACTAAAGAACTATGTCCAACGAACTGTGTCTAAAGAACTGTGTCTAAAAAACTGTGTCTAAAGAACTGTGTCTAAAGAACTGTGTCTAAAGAACTGTGTCTAAAGAACTGTGTCTAAAGAACTGTGTCTAAAGAACTGTGTCTAAAGAACTGTGTCTAAAGAACTGTGTCTAAAGAACTGTGTTTAAAGAAATGTGTCTAAATATTAAAATTTTTTGTCAAAAACAAGTCAATTATACAATTATAAACAGTTTTATATAAAACAGTAAAATTTTGTATATAAGGACTGTAGTGAAATGAAAAGGGTATGTTTCCCTAAATTACTTGTTAACCAACGTATACACATTTACTATTTTTTTTTAATTTTTTATATTTTCTGACTCATGTCGTTAGGTACTGATATTTCAAGTCTAAGCAGGGCGTACATATATAGCATATAGTTTCACCGAGTTTTTCTTCGTATCTTTTCAGCTATAATTTTGGTAATTTTCAAGAGCATCAGAAAACTAAAAATTGTTTTTTATGTATTTGTACAGAAACTGTAATACTCTAATAATTAACAAATAGTATAATTAGAGCACAGTGGAAGTTACTTATGAGATAATAATTAATGTTTAAATTGTATAAATTTTTAATAAGTTGAGTTTGATTGAGATACAACTTAACGTAACACTTTACAGAATAAAATACAACAACCATAGTATAAAAAGAAATACGTGTATTTGTTATTGCTACAAAAAAATATGCCAAGAAGGCTGTAACTCATTTTACCATCTTTTAATATGCACCATATTATTTTGGCACCTGTTACTGAATTTTTGAGGTTGAAATGATGCAAAAGAAAGAAACTCTTTTTAATCGAGTATCAGCCAAACCATTGCGAACTGAGATTTTTTTACTGATTGATTCGCCTCATTTTGCTGAATACGCTTGCGGCTGAAATGAAAAAGGGTGTATCGTATAGAGTGTCGACATCTGACGTAGTTATTAAAAACTCTACGATTGAGACTAAAGCTGAACAAGTGAACAATGATTTTATAGCAATGAATTAATTTTAAAACACAACAAAACTGAAACACGTGTATATAGGTTAAAACAAACAATTAGTTGATATAATAAACATTAAATTTATCGGTATAATTATATTTTGCCACACAAATAACATGGAACTGCCAAATAAATAACTTATGTAACAAATTAGCAAAATTAACGTTTGCGCTACGTAACATATCAAATATAGTCAATACAGAAGCAGCCATTATACGGCTTATTCTATTTAATTCTAACATCACTACAAGGAATTTTTATCTCACAAACATCAGCAGTTCTCTATGATTTGCGGGTAAACTATAATGAACCATGTGAATCTTTATTTGAACAACTAACTAAACATAATGATCCTATTTTCACAAACACTATTTGAAAATCTGCTAGCTATAAAAAATATAATTTGAGAATTCACGTCACAGACAATCATAAATACTATACCAGAAAGGAAAATCAGCTAATCCGAATAAGAACTAGAATAAACAAGTTCCAAAAAATAGGTTTTTCGTTCTATATTAATATTAAAAATCAAAATTTATATGAAATATATTGCGCAGACTCCAGAATAGTCAGATTTATTTTAAGAGAGTACTATATATTTCCAATTAAAACTTATTCACATTAAAATTACGCTGTGTCGGCCATTTTGAAAGTATAGCTGTCGATTATAAATAATGTCTAAAATATTAACGTGGCCCTAGCTTCATTGTCACCCAGTGAAAAATCGTTGTAAATAAATTTAGTGGCTAAGTTCCAGTGTTGTCTAACCAACAAAATCTCGAAACAACTTTTTTTGTATATTATTATTCTAAAATAATTTCTGTACATGACAAAGTTTTCTAAAAATTATTGTAAATATCTATACCCAAAGATTAGGCAGTTACGTCTAGTAGACACAGGTAAAGTGCTTTGATCACATATTATACACTTTTAATAAATTGTTGGTAAGGCAACTCTGACACTTAAACCACTCAATTATAAATTGCAAAATTGTTCTGGAATAAATTAAAACATAAAGTGCGTTAGCACCTACCCAAAATAATACGAAACGCAACGAGGATGATCGCATGCACTCTTCCATTTTTCACTGTTATCGGCTGACACGCTTGGCTGGAATTTCAGACAGTTATTATACACTTAAAATTAATTATTTGTGACAAAATTCCGCATCCAAGTAATGGCTACAATAGGGGAGTGTTTGAAAATTCGTACGACGTTGATAGCACGAACTCACGCAACCTAAACGACTGATATCGTCTGAAGGACTCGTCGCTTTGCACTCATACGTCACAAAAACCACCCTATAAATACATAAGCATGAGAATTAATGGTTTTATTTTATCTCGATGAGACTAGCGAAATATATATTCAAATAATATTTCATTTAAGAGATTTAACTAGTTGTTACTGCACATATCGGTAAATATTACATATTTTTGCTAGTTATTAAATTTGATTTGCAGAAATCTATGTTTTATACCTCCAAAAAAATTACGAGATACATTTTATTCATAACAATAATAGATCCATTTATTTTTAGATATTATAATGTAAAAATCCTAAAAAGTGTAATCATATTACACTTAATGTATAAATACAAACTAAGGTTGGTAAATTTCATATCCTTACTAGATTGGATATAACTGATATCGACTACTCGTAGTTTGAGCACAAAGTAAATAATATACATGTGGTTGTAGAAATAATATTGAGATTAAAATAATATTAAAGTGCATAATGTAAAAATTATTATCAGATATATAAAATATACCTATAATTAAATTTGAAAGTTTGTGGAAACAGAGTTTCCCTATGTGTAACTTATATAAAGTTATGATTACGAAACTACATCAATAACATTATTAGAGTTTCACGTGGATATTATTATCACATGCAAGTTCTCTGCACTACACAAACTCTGATTACAAATATTCGTAAGTATACATAACTACTTGCACCTAACTGTTTGCGTACGTAGTAGTTGGAAACGTAGAAACTTTATTTTCCAAATTAATACATAGTTGTGCTAGGTTTATTGCCTGTTTGTTTAATCATCTTAGTAAAAAATGTCAGTGATTCGTATGTTGCCAAATTAGTCGATACTGGTTTTGTTTCTGTAATGTGAAACTAGCCACAGCGAGTCGTAGGAAAAGAAACTGTGGAAGTCGCTATTTTGGGATATGTTGCATTGGATCATATGCAGTGTCGGCTATTGCAAAATAGCAACAACAGCAAAAAATTACAAAAATAGCTAAAATAGCTAAAATAGCTAAAGTAGCTAAAATAGATAAAATAGCTAAAATATCGAAAATATCGAAAATATCGAAAATATCGAAAATATCGAAAATAGCTAAAATAGCTAAATAGCTAAAAAAAAAAATAGCTAAAAAATAGCTAAAAATACCTAAAATAGCTAAAATAGCTAAAAATAGCCAAAATAGCTAAAATAGCTAAAATAGCTAAAATAGCTAAAATAGCTAAAATAGCTAAAATAGCTAAAATAGCTAAAATAGCTAAAATAGCTAAAATAGCTAAAATAGCTAAAATAGCTTAAAATAGTTTAAAATAGCTTAAAATCGCTAAAATCGCTAAAATCGCTAAAATCGCTAAAATCGCTAAAATAGCTAAAATAGCTAAAATAACTAAAATAACTAAAATAACTAAAATAACTAAAATAACTAAAAATAACTAAAATAACTAAAATAACTAAAATAACTAAAATAGCTAAAAATAGCCAAAATAGCTAAAATAGCTAAAAATAGCTAAAATAGCTAAAAATAGTTAAAATAGCTAAAATAGCTAAAATAGCTAAAATAGCTAAACTAGCTAAAATAGCTAAATAGTTAAAATAGATAAAATAGCTAAAATATCTAAAATAGCTAAAATAGCTCAAATAGCTAAAATAGTTAAAATAGTTAAAATAGCTAAAAATAGCTAAAATAGCTAAAATAGCTAAAATAACTAAAAATATCTAAAATAGTTAAAAATAGCTAAAATATCTAAAATATCTAAAATATCTAAAATATCTAAAATGTCTAAAATATCTAAAATATCTAAAATATCTAAAATATCTAAAATATCTAAAATATCTAAAATATCTAAAATATCTAAAATATCTAAAATATCTAAAATATCTAAAATATCTAAAATATCTAAAATATCTAAAATATCTAAAATATCTAAAATATCTAAAATATCTAAAATATCTAAAATATCTAAAATATCTAAAATATCTAAAATATCTAAAATATCTAAAATATCTAAAATATCTAAAATATCTAAAATATCTAAAATATCTAAAATATCTAAAATATCTAAAATATCTAAAATATCTAAAATATCTAAAATATCTAAAATATCTAAAATATCTAAAATATCTAAAATATCTAAAATATCTAAAATATCTAAAATATCTAAAATATCTAAAATATCTAAAATATCTAAAATATCTAAAATATCTAAAATATCTAAAATATCTAAAATATCTAAAATATCTAAAATATCTAAAATATCTAAAATATCTAAAATATCTAAAATATCTAAAATATCTAAAATATCTAAAATATCTAAAATATCTAAAATATCTAAAATATCTAAAATATCTAAAATATCTAAAATATCTAAAATATCTTGTAATAGAATGATTGGAATATTACGTAAAAAAGGGGCTGATTGTAACAGTCGAAAAAAAATAAGATAAACGTGTCTCAAACGCGCTTACCTTCTGTGCTGCATCATATGGTTCGTCGGATGAAGTAGGTGGTAGTATTAGTCCAGTAGCCAAGACCGGGCCCGGTTACACAATTTATATAACAACGTTTATTATACAGGATTTATAATAGCGGATTTAACGGCACATACACACCACAAAGCGTTCGTCGCGGCAATTTCTATAGTACTCTCTGTCCAACGGCGTTTCACTTGTCTTACAGTCAGACGAAGCGCATGTGTGGGCCAAAGTTTTAAGTAAGCGATTTGAGACAAAGCGCGAATATTTAAATAATAAAATAGGAATTAATTCATTCTGGAACATTTCCTGCCCCGAAAAAATGTAAATAATACATTTTTAAACTGATTAGACAATTCCCCAAAATAAAAACTAAATATTAAAGCAAAAAAAGGAAAGTTCAAATAATAGAATTAAACCAAAAAAAACAATTATAAAATACTACAGGTAGCATATAAAAAAAAAATTAATTATTAGGTAGTGGACACAGTTTTACCAATGGCCGTTTTAAAATAAAATTTTGTGTTTTTACCGTAGCTACTCTGGCTATGTTATCATTACCAAAATGCAGTTGAGTAACACGGCCTAACAACCATTTATTAGGAGGTAAATTATCGGTTTTAACCAAAACTAAAGTACCAAGTTTGGGGGTGTTAGCAGGGTCTAACCATTTGGCTCGCTGCTGTAGGGTATGCAAATATTCTTTATGCCAGCGACGCCAAATATCTTGATGGATGCGCTGTAACAATTGCCACCTAGAAAGGCGATTTAGGGGGACGTGTTCGAAACTGGGAACGGGAAATGCGGTTAAAGGTTCCATGGTCAAGAAATGACCGGGCGTTAAGGCGTTGATATCGTCGACATCATTAGATATGGCAACTAGTGGTCTAGAATTTAATATGGATTCTATAAGTGTCAGAACTGTATAGAATTCCTCAAATGTGAGAATTTGATCACCTACGACGCGGCGAAGGTGAGTTTTAACACTTTTAACGCCAGCTTCGGCTAGACCATTAAAGTGAGGAGCTCCGGCGGGGCTAGGAAACCATTGAATAGTTTCACTTGCGCTGGCCTGTTCCATAAGAGAAAGCAATTCGCGTTTTGCACCCATAAAATTTGTGCCACAATCACTGTATATCTGTGAGACTTTTCCACGCCTTGCAATAAATCTTTGTAGAGCGGCTAAAAATGTTGGTGTAGATAAATCACTGGCAAGTTCCAAATGTACAGCTTTGGTAGCCAAGCAGACAAAAATGCAGAGGTAAGCTTTGCAACTTTTTACTCCTCTGTGACGACTAATAGTTATATTAAATGGGCCTGCGAAATCAACAGCGGAGCGACCGAAAGGTTTTGCCTCAGACACTCGAGACAGCGGCAAATTTCCCATTGGGGGTTGATAAGAGGTAGGAGATGTTTTCCAACAGCGTAAACATTTCGAAATCACTGAGTTAATGGCTCGTTTTGAGGATAGAACCCAAAACTGTTGAGCTAGTAAGAAGTGAGTACTTCTAAAGCTAGCATGAAAATACTTTTCATGAATGTGGCGAATGACGAGTGTAGTTAATAGACTTTGTCTAGGTAATAATATGGGGTGCTTAGATGAATAAGATATAGATGCATTATGCAGTCGACCTCCCACTCTAAGAATATTGTTATCATCTAAAAAAACATTCAACTTACGTAGAGGTTTAGAAAAACGTTTGGACTCAATTTCTTCCTGAAAGTGAGTATATTGAGTAGTTTTTACCAAAACAAGAAGGGCCGAATACAATTCGTCGGTGGAAAATATGCCACAATGTTTAGAAAGCGGGTGTTGACAATTGTAGATAAAGCGCAAGATGAAACTTAAAATATTTTGAATAGTAGTCAAAGAAGAATAATTTTCAAGCATAGAAATTACAAAACTCTCATTGTTATGATTGAGTAATGTTGAAAATAATATCATTTTACGTTGTTCTTCTTTGGGAAGCGTAACCTCATTAGCAGAAGATGGGAAGGTAGGCCAAGAACTTTCATCTTCGTAAAGAAATTCAGGACCGGTTAACCAATATTTATAGGTTAAGAAGTGGGAAGGAAGAGCCCCTCGCGAGGCTATATCTGCGGGGTTAATAGCAGTATTCACATACGACCAATTATCAGGAGAGAGATTTTCTTGAATGAAAGATACCCTGTGGGCGACATAAGTTTTCCAGCGATTGGGACATCCCTTTATCCAATGCAGTACGATTTGAGAATCGCACCACGCGCGAATTTTTATAAAGCTAATTTGGTTACAAAAATTCGTTTTAACATAAAGAATTAATTTAGTCAGCAGAACGGCTCCACAAAGCTCTAAGCGAGGGATAGTAAGTTTCTTGGTAGGTGCGACTTTAGATTTGGAACAAATAAATGATACTTGAACGGCATCTGTTTCGTCTTTAATACGAAAATATATTACCCAACTATAGCCTCGTTCGCTAGAATCACAAAACCCATGAAGTTCGAATTGACAATAATTAGAATATGAAATTAACGTAGAATATTGACGAGGAATTTTTAAATCGGCAAGCAAAGGTAATTCTGACTGGTATTGTTCCCAAAGTTGAGTAATAGACTCATCTGGAACTACATCCCAATCTAACCCAGAACGCCATAATTTCTGAATTAAATGCTTGCAATAAAATGTGATAGGTGAAATAAAGCCTAACGGGTCATAAATTCTAGCAAGTTCAGAGAGAAGTGTGCGTTTTGTACAAGGTTTATTTTGGACAGGATTAACAAGAAAGAAGAATGCATCATCACAAGGATCCCACTGAAGACCTAAAACTTTTATAGAACTTTCATCAGAAAGCGAATTAAAATCGAGCGGTTGTTTAGCTAAATCAGAAGCGGGAAGAATTTTTAACAAATCAAGGTTATTACTTGACCATTTATGTAGTTGAAAGCCTCCTAATTTCATAAGAGAAACCAACTCAGAAACCAGCTGTTTGGCTAGTTTTAAACTAGAGCACGAGAAAACAAAATCATCAATATAGCAGTAATTTTCGATTGCATGTGCGGCTAGAGGAAATCTGTGTCCTTGGTCTTTCACTAATTGTTTGAGGATTCTTAACGCTAAAAATGGTGCACTACTAATTCCATATGTAACTCGAGTTAATCGATAATCCCGAACTGGTTGGGTTGGAGAAAATCTCCAAAGAATACGTTGATAATTGCAATCTTGCGAATTGACTAAAATCATTCGGTACATTTGTTTAATATCAGCACACACAGCAAAAGCATTAAGGCGAAAATATAACAAAATAGCACATATGTCCTGTTGTAACTTGGGTCCAACAAATAGACAATCATTAAGAGATTTCTGATTAGGTAAATGAGCAGAAGCGTTAAACACAACCCTTAATTTGGTTGAAATACTATGCGGCTTTACCACACAGTGGTGCGGAATATAATAAGCATTGGTTGAGGAAAGCGATTGACCAGAAATTAATTCCATATGGCCAAGGTCAAGAAATTCCTTTAAAAAAGCAGAATATTCTAAATACAAATTTTCATTCTTTAATAATCGGCGTTCCAGAGAATGAAAGCGAGATAAAGCAAGGTCACGAATACCAGCAAAAGGCGGAGGATCACTCTTAAAGGGCAGTGATACGCTATATCGACCATTAGTATAGGTATAAGAATCTAAAAACAATTTTTCACAAAGGTCATCATCACTAGAAAAGGTCGTAGTTTCGGGTATTTTTTCAACTTCCCAAAAATTGGTTAAAGTATTATTAAGTTCTCGAATACAAGAAGATTTGCAAAAAAACGTGGACATAACAGGACGAGGTATTGAAGAAGTTTTTCCCAAAATCACGTAACCAAAAATTGTATGAATGGCATCAGGTTCAGATATGGTTCCGGTAACATGTCCATTTAATAATAGTTTTGGAAAGACATCTGCCCCAAGTAACAGATCGACAGGACCTGGAGTAAAATATTTGGGATCAGCAAGCTTAAGATCTAAAAGATGAGACCAATTATGAATAGGTAATGTAGAATCAGGAAGGTTATCACATATTTGATTAACGATAATAGCATCTAGATATATTTTAGGTTCTGGCTGATTAAGGGGTTTGCACGTTACCCCTACACGAGCGGTGTCAAGGGTAGATGTCATCGAGTCTAAACCTCTAATATCTACGGAAAATTCGGTTTGGGCAAGATTTAGACGAGTAGCAGCTCGCTTGGAAATAAACGAGCTCATACTTCCTGAATCTAGTAAGCAACGATATGAGCGGTAAATTCCTCGATTATCAAGAACATCGATAAGGGCGGTAGCTAATAAAATTCGACTTGATTCTATTACTCCTTGAGCGGTAAGAATTTGATTTCCTAAAGTACTAGTACTGGTGAAATTTGGCAGAGACGTAGACGAAGTAGGAGGCAAGCGGTCCAAAGGGCGGTGATTTTGAGATATTTGCCGATCAAAATGCAACAAGCTATGATGTGATTTTGAAAAACAATATCTACAACCTTGAGTACTATTGCAAGACCTCAGGTCATGAGAACTACTCAAGCAATTATAGCACAAATGGTTAGATTTGCAGAAGGCATGTCTTTCAGAGGGCGACTTTGAAGCGAAATTCTGACATTTATAAAGCGAATGAGTTTCCTTGCAAAGAATACAATTAGAACTAGGCGATTTAGCGCCAGTATTCGTAAAAAACGAACGCGGACGTGGTGTGATAATCTTAGGTTTATTTTTTATATTTGAACTGGATGGCGAGTCCGAATCAATATTATCATAAGCTAAATATTGTTCGTTTAAGAATTTAATAAGACTTTTATAGCTAGGAACCTGACAAGAACGATGTTCAAGTTCGA